AGAGCCAACATATTTTTGTCCTAACTATAAAACACACATTTGCTTTATGATAAATATAATTATCTTGTTTGGGCAAAAGCTTATTTTTTTGAAGGTTTGTATAAATTTCCCAACACTGTATAATAACATTGTTATTGCAGTTTTGAAATTATTTGGGGGAATATGGAGGGAAAATCATAGACCCATAGTAGAATCACACCCTTAGGGGAATCCTTCAGAATTCACCTTCTTTAAGCTCATAGACTTAAAGGAAGGTCAGAGCAATCTCTTTCCCAAATAATAAAAATCCATATGTTATTGAGAAATCTGTGGAAAAGATGCTATTATCTTCTTCACAAAGCTATTAAAATGAGTAATAATCTTCAAATTACGTTAAAAGTTTTAAAGTCTATTTTCAATTGAATTTTTGTTTTATCCAGTTGATAAGCTTAATCCTAGTTCCTTGAGTCATTTTAGAATTTGAGCAAAAAAATTAAAAAACTCCCATTGCATGGTCATTTTTACATTTAAACTTGCAGAAGAAAAAAAAAATGTCATTTCTGTACAGCTGATAATCATAAACTTGAATTGCTCCCTTTTGACACTCCCAGGAAATCTTGGTTTGTGGCCATATATCATGAACTTCTTTATTTGAAGTTAATTACACAGAGCTACCTAAATAAACTTAAATCATCAAAGGGTTGTTCTGTTCCCATTCCCAAATTTCAGTTCTAAAGATTGCAGTTGGCATTATTTTTAGACTGGCCCTGGATTTCAGTGACCTACAAATGATGATTGGCAATTCATCCTCCGGAAAGCCCCCCCATGGTGTTTATTCCTATTTGCTTTGTGTTTGGGTTCAGCATAGATATGAAAAACAAAGCCTTCAACCATCTGGGAAGTGGAACTTTTCCTGCCTGAACTCACATGTGAAAGCCTTGGAGACAGCCACGTCCTGGGTAAACTTCTGGTGGAGTTCTCATAGGGATGGCCAGGATGTGGCTGGAACCCATTGTTGTGTATGTGTTTGATTTCCCAGAGCCATAACCTCAAGTCAACAGAACTACCTTCTAGACCAGTGATGGTGAACCTTTTGAGCTCGGCGTGTCAGCATTTTGAAAAGCCCTAACTTAACTCTGGTGCCGTGTCACATATAGAAATTTTTTGATATTTGCAACCATAGTAAAACAAAGATTTATATTTCTGATATTTCTTTTATATATTTAAATGCCATTTAACAAAGAAAAATCAACCAAAAAAATGACTTCGTGTGTCACCTCTGACACGCGTGTCATAGGTTCGCCATCACTGTTCTAGGATAAAACTCAGATCATTCCCAAGAGCCAGAGGGCCTCCAGCCCTTTATGCAGCTTCCATTGAGCTGGGTCACTTATCTCGGGGACTTACGGATTGACTTTTCCACCTTTTCCTTGATGGAGTAGATCATGATTTTCTCAGTGGAGTCTGTACTCCTTTTCCAGATATTCTTCAGCAGCAAGGGGTACCGGGTCAGCCTGTGCAGGGGGGCCACCAGCAGCTCAGCCAGGTGAAGCCGCCTGCACTGTTCATTTTGCTCACACCACTGGGGAAGGAAACGCAGACAATCAGAGCGTCACTTCTCCTATCAAAGCCCCGAGAAGCCTGGGCATGCAATACACTCAGCTATTTCACTGGGTGACAACGTGACGCAACTGTGAGCTTGCTGAGGACGCTTATAAGCCACGGACCAGATGTTGCTTTTGAAAATCCTTATTAAAGTGTCTTTAGCAAATTCAGAGTCTGAAATGAGGTTCTTCGATGTGGTTGAGAGGTACTATTGAGCATTACTGACTAACACTGTTACTTCCCAATCAAAGAGGAGAGAATCCTTCTCCGGCTGCCTTGCCTTCCCAGTGATGGTGAAGAAGGCAGGCTCAGCATCGCGATAACATCACCTCTCTCTCCTCAGTGGGGAACTTGTCAAGATGAAGAGGCACGAGAAAAGTGTGACATTTCGCAAGTTCCCTAGAGAACACATGTTCCCTCTGTGGCAGGGAGAAGAGGTATTACTATACCTGTTCCCTTCTCGTTTACCCTTCTCACCCAAGAGTTCGGCTGTCCCACTGGCTTCTCCTTCTCTCTGGCCCTCTTAGGAGATTTCTGTTTTTTTCCAGCTCTATGCCTCATTGTGAGGCACAATCAGGAGAACTGAGAATCAACAGATGGAAGGAAAAGGAAGGCTGTTTGCTTGTTGGATCAGTTCCCTGACTCTCCTTTCTTGGAGGGAAGGAGGGTAATATGAGAAAATGAATAGAAGTTGAAGAAGCTAGATTGAGCTACATGCTATAGAGGAGGGAGGGAGACGGAAGGGATAAAGACACAAACAATTTTCAGTAGCAAGAGAGTCTGACTCAGAGGCAGCTGCAATGTGTGCAAAGCACCGGGAAGCAGGAAAGGAACTCTAGTAAGTACTGCTGTGGGCTACACATTTGATTTCTATAAATGCAGCGGTTCTCAACCTGGGGGTCGCGACCCCTTTGGCGGTCGAACGACCCTTTCACAGGGGTTGCTTAAGACCATCCTGCATATCAGACATTTACATTACGATTCATAACAGTAGCAACATTACAGTTATGAAGTAGCAACAAAAATAATTTTATGGTTGGGTCACAACATGACGAACTGTATTTAAAGGGCCAGAAGGTTGAGAACCACTCTATAAATGGCATTTGACAAATGCAACTAATCATGAGAATGGCTCACATATTTGTTTCGTCTGCTGGGCTGTTTATTTGAATGTGATGCTGTCTTGAACCTGAGCGGCCTGGCTTTTGTGCAGATGACACATGACTCATGGAGTCTGGTCTCTGGTTACTGTGCACATAGGTCCACCAGAAGGTATTACTAGGGGATGCGTGTTCTTCCTCTTCTCTTGTCTCCCCTGCGCACTCACACCTGAGTTCAGCTCTGGGGGAGCCCTGCCCTTACACAAGGCTCTCAGCTTTCTCTGCAGGTCGGGCTCCGGCCAGGCCCAGGTGACCTCCTCTGCCTTGTGACTCAGACCCTGAAGGCCAGCTTTAGGCATACACTGTGCAACGTTCTCTCTGCTTCCCCAAACATAGCTTCCTACATCTTTGTGCCCAGGTGTCTGCCCTTGCGTTTTAGAGATCTAGGTGCAATTGGCTCAACCCCCACCAAGTCCAAAACTCTCTCTAGATATTTACAAATTTATGGAATGGTTGCAATTAGAATGGCTTCTTCTGGCCCCTGCTGGCACACACACTCTCTTCCCTGAACAGCATGTGCCCACTGATGCCAAATGTAACCCCCTGGTTGGTGTCCTATGCTGGTTTCCCCTGTAACCCCACTCATGCCAAACGTTTTATGAGTGAACATATTTACTGAAGACTTTGGGTTGTGGGGAGGGGTCAAATACACAGCCCACGACATCGCCCCACTGCATTTTGATGTGCCATTTTCTTCTTTGGAAAGAGAGAGCTGCTCTTCCTCTCTCTTCCCCTCTCCCACTACCCTCTTCCCTTACCCTCATGCTTAGCAACTTGCCCTTGTCTTTCATAGCTTGAACATGTCCTTGGGGGTTTCACCCTCTCCCACCAGGAACTTCATCAAAGTATTTATTTTGAGAACATCCTGGATTCTTCCTCACGGGGGTTCGCTGGACATGATCTTCTCCACCCCTACATGCATAAGGCCGGCCAGGAAAGTGAGCACAGGCTGGAGGCTGGAGGGTGGGTGGAGCTCGAGAAGCCAGGCCTCAAGGCTTCCTGAGGGACCACCTCCCCTGCTCTGTACGTCAGCTTCCTCTTGGCGGAAGGTACTAGGTCACCTCCACGTTCTCACCTGGCTCACAATGGCTGGGATTCTTTCTCCCTGATGCTGGGAGAGATGGAGACGGAAGCAGGAACTGCAGATGTGGAAAGGCCAATGGTGGTAACGGGTGGAAAAAGGGGGTGTGGAGAGGCCTTAGCCTGTGGTCTCAGTGGCTGGTTTCCATCCTGTCTCACTGGCAGCAGCATTCTAGCTCCGGAGCTCCAGTCTGGGAGCTCCAGTAACTGATTTCTCAGAAGCAGTTAGGTATTTCCTCAAACATAGCCCAGGGCCACTGCCCCAAATTTCCACACCATTGAAAACAGCTCTGGCTGCCAGCATCCTGAGTACATGTGAAAACACCCAATTTACCCCAGACACCAACCCGGCAAGAAGCACCAGTGGTAAATAATTGGGACGAAGATCCAGGCAGGACTATTAGAAGCTTTTAGTGTTTCAGAAACCTCAGAAGAGAGAAAAATATATTTGATGGTTCTAAAAGTAGGTATAAATTTTTCTTTCATCTATTGGCTTTAATTTTCAGACCCATTAGGGGGGAAAAAGAACATCTCTGTCAAGAGAAATTGGACATAAAAGGCTTTTTATGGATAGGCCTAGATCGATGAAGGATGCTTTTGCTTTATAATAAATATCCAATATGTTTAGGGTAACAGTGAACGGAATTCAGGGGCCCGTTGAGTTGAACAATATTACCTCTCTGAGTCTCAGGGACACTTATAAATTCATTCTCCTCATAACTCTGTCCTGGTGGAATGCAATATTGTGCTGGGGCAGCCATTCTTAGAATTTGGGGAAATTTACTTAAACTCTATAAATCTCATCTGTGAATGTGGGTAACAAGGATAATTACCTCAGCAGGTGGTGAGGGGCTTTATTGAGAATCCATACAAAACGCCCCAAACAGTGGCTGGCACATTCCGAACACTCAGTCCAAGGAGTTCTTAGCGATGGTTAACAGAACTCCATGAAGAGCCGTGGTACAAAGTTCCAGTCTCTTTCTCTGCATCATTTTAATTGTTTCTGCCAGAGAAGGGAGAATTCCGCTCCCATCAATGTGCACCAACATCCTGTACAGGCTTTCGTAAAGCCAGCCCCATGTGGCAGGGAGGGTGAATTCATCCCAGGACACGCCCCCTTTCCAGGCAGCCCATGACACAACACAGGCTTAGGTTTTCCACGGACATTGTTTATGTCAGTGCATAGTAGGGAATGAAGGTCAGCTTCAGACACGTCTGAGTCAAATCCTGTCTCTGCCCTGAACAACCGTATGTTTCAGCGAGTTGCCTAATTTGTCTAAGCCCTTGAGTAATGGGGACACTATCACATCCCACAGGGTTACTGTGTAGACTGGGGTGGGGAACGTCCGGACCACGGGCTGTATCATTTGGTCTGGCCCTGCCAAGGCAACTGCAGGCAGGCCTCAAAGTTCAATAAATCTAGGAACTTTTTCATAGCACATAATTTTTAGTTGATAATTTTGGATGGCCCACAAATGATGTCATAAATATCTAAGTGGCCCTTGGCAGAGAAAAGGTTCCCCGCCCCTGGTGTAGACAAAGAGATCATGATGACCAGCAGTGGCTGGTCGAAGCAAGGGCTCGAGAACCAGCCCCCTTTATTATTATTTACTGTATATTGCAATTATTATATTATAAGTATTATATTTACTAGGCTATAGTTAAATTATTACTCACTCTCTGTGATGATGCTTTTGTTCTGTACTATGTGGCTGTGGAAAGCAGGTTCACCTTCAATTCCTCTACAGCAGCAGTTCTCAACCTGTGGGTCGCCACCCCTTTGTCAGTTGAACGACCCTTTCACAGGGGGTCACCTAAGACCATCCTGCATATCAGATATTTACATTACGATTCATAACAGTAGCAACATTACAGTTATGAAGTAGCAACGAAAATAATTTTATGGTTGGGTCACAACATGGGGAACTGTATTTAAAGGGCCAGAAGGTTGAGAACCACTGCTCTACAGCCTCTTCCTCACCTGTTCCATGATGTTCACAGTTGCCAGGTGATGGGACCTAGCCCTGAGGAGCTCTAAGTAATTTTGGTGGAAAGAGCATTTTTTAATTATTTTTATTTTTGCCCGAAGACCTTTATCCAGGTTCATTTTTGCCACCTATTGGCCACATGACCTTGCAAAAACCATACAACCTCTCTGAGCCTCAGGGACACCTGGGGACAATGTAATCAACTTCAACGTTTTGTGCCAAGGATTAAAAGAGATGTTTGAGAAACTAAAGATGCCGGTATTGCGTTATGCGTTATAATTGTATGTTATCTTCGGATGCCGTGCATATTTCATATAAAGATGTAAACCACCTTTCTATGTCACAATTGGTATGGTATTTTCCACAGTTACTGGGAAATGGTGGCTGCACCTCGTTAAAGTAACCTCTGGCCTGGCTTGGAAGAGAGAGACATGGAACTGGCTTCTCCCCAGTTTGGGGGCCAGGCTGGGAGTCTAATCATCCGCTTCCGGGGAAAACTTCTGTAACAGGATTATTCATACATCTGGAAAGCTAATGAGCTCTCCGTTCTTATTGAGTAGCCAAGAAAACACCGAATGAATGGTTAAAGCTACAAAAAATAAGGCCGAGTCTCTCCCCCAAGACTATCCTCCTTTCTCAGCCACGCTGCACCCAGGCCTCCTGGCATAGTCGGGCGACAGGTAAGGCCTGGAACCCGGGCAGCCCTTCCTCCCTGGACTCTGAGGTGGTGCTCTGCCGGGGGCTTTGGCAACTGCCAGGAGAGCTAGTTTTCCGAAAAGGCTTGGACTATTTTCTCTGGATCATAAAAAGGGCTCTGGTGTAATAGTGGAAAGGTGTAGTTCATACTAAAGAAATGTCAAGAGAAGGGTCAAAGGAACTGGTGAAGTCAAAGACCATTCTTTCCGTGTCGACTTATTAGCAAATGCTGACTGTTCTTAGCAGAAACTTTGCTCTGATGCTTTGGAGCCCATAGCCACCATGCTGCAACATCTAGATTGTGCCCTATGAAGTACTCCAGGGGGCGCCCTTCGCACAGAATACAATGTACATGCTTCTCCAAGCTTGTGTGCAACAGCATCTTGCTGGGACCAAATCCTAGAAGAGCCCAACTTCTAGTCACAAAGCCTCTTCTTATTGTAGCTTTCTCCTTACAGTGTACCGACTTCATTCACAAACACGCCAATGAACGAATAAAACATTGGTAAGTAAGCCCCTGCCAAAAATTTAGGAGGGACGTGAGATGATACAATGTTTCCAGATGTGCACCACTTAGAATTCCTCAGTGTGCAGTGGAAGGTGTGTGTTGATGAGGAAAGCAGATTTGTAGTTCAAGTGTATTGTTGATCATTTATTGTTCTTCTTTCTCACTTATTTTGGGTATAATTCCTAGTACCTATTGTACCACAAAGAGTTTCAGGAAAATTATAAAAAGAAAAGAAGATGGTACTTTACTTTTAAGTAAATTCCAAAGTCCTCTCTCTGCTTCAGGCTCTCGAGGTAAAAGACAGCGGCGGAGTAGTTCAGGCAGTAGGTCTGGTGGCTCTGACAGAGGCTCCCTCGGAAATGCTGCAAGAGAAGAGCAGGGAGGGCACAGGCAGGCGGCCTCTTTTCCTTCATGGTCATCACTGACCAACATGGGGAAAGGGGAAGGGGTCAGCATTGTCAAGCAGGAGTGTGACCGTGTGACTAGGAACAGGTTATCTTCACAATAAACATTCTTTAAAAAATAGTATTTCCATAAGACACAGGTAACTCCTCAATCAACCACCACCTCCCCTTCCTACTTAAAATTCTACTTAGGGTGTCTTGATTTAATTTACCTTTTGCTTCTGTTTATGTTTTGTTGAGGTCTACCCTGCCTGCATGGCACCTGGTAACAAATACTGCCTTTGACTTCAGGGCTTATGTTGGTTGATGTTAGGCTTGTGTTGGTAGTAAGTAACAACATTTAATTTTCATCAACTTTTCCTCAAAAATGTCCGTTCATGTAATTCTCCTGTTGGCTTCTAAAACTGTAGAGTCAAATCTGAGAGCCTCTCCTTAGTGTATGTATAGATTTATGTAATGGTCAAACAGAGCACCCCATACAAGGTCCCCTGTCTCAGTTATGTGTCTTTCTCGGAAGTGAGTTACTCTTTTCTCTTCACCAAAGCTTAACTGGCACACACTCTCCTTGGTGTCTCAGTGTCTACCATGTTGCTAAGCCCACGTACTCCTTGATTTATTGATTGATGTAATGAGTAATGGCTTCCACTGATAAATGTCTAATAGTGTCACATGTGGTAGAATAAGACAAGGAAGACACACTTGTTGGCAATGTTATAACTACATTTAGTCGAGAAAACAGACCCAGCCTAAAAAGTCACTAAAGGAAGTTGACATTTCTCTAGACTATTTACTTAACATTATATTTAAACATTTTCCGAATCTAAATAAATTGAGGGAACCTAAGACTTTAGCTACTTCCCAACACTTTACATTCTTCCTCTTGTTTTCCAAAGTTTTTCTTATTCAAATCTCTTTTCTAAGTTCACCTGAGGATCTCCCTACTTTATACCTAGTTTTCTATGTGTTTTGCCTTGTTAACATACCGTATTTGCCGGCGTATAAGACGATTTTTTGGCCCTGAAAAATATGCCTCCAAGTGGGGGGTCGTCTTATACGCCAGGTACACGTCAGATAGACTGCCCATAGTGCTTGCCCTGTGCCATAGTGGCCTCCCGATGCCCGCCCACTTCATTCCACATACCGTTCAGGCATCAGCAGCGCTGCTGGGTGTATGCTCGGCTGTTATGCGATTTT